TAGATGGAGGATCCATCACAGCCTGGATCTAGTAACCTTCAAGACAAGGTCTAATTTCATTCTCTGACATTTTTGGAAGCCTACATGTTGGAAAAGATTGTGTCTTTCTAAAAGAGTTCATTTTAATTGTAGGCATGCCTCCATTAAATGGATTAGCATGCCTCTATCTGTTAGAATCTACTAATATTTACATTTTCATATTTATTACAACATTTTCTTGCAAAGTTTATTTATATACTCTCAATGCTTAGAAGGGCTTCTTGTGAATAGTTTTGGGTGCATGATTTTTATTCCCAAGGACTATGTTGGTATGATATTAAAGGCCTTATTCTGAGATGCTCTAAGAGATTTCCAAATCATAGATTTTAGAGCAATTTGCAGACACTTAGTTCTTCTGAGAAATGTGAGCCAGAGTGCTGCTAAAGAGGGGACTTAGGTGATGAGGGTGTGAGGGGAAGAGTTGGAAAAGCGTGGTGGATAACAGCACAGGAAGCAGGCTCTCTGGTGAGCAGAAGAATCACTGGTCAAGGCATCCTTGTCCCTAAGCGAAAGATGAGCTTGATCTGGATAGCGTACATCCTATTCAAATAACAGCTTTGACAACTAAGTCCATGAATTTAGGCTAAGTGTGAGAAAGTAATTATTGTATTTAATTGAGGTTGGCTTGTCATTAATGCTGCTTGCTTAGACTGTTGATAATGGTGCTTTCATGGGCCGCACCTTCACTTACTGTGATCATGCTGCAGCTATCTGCTATTTCCTTTTCTCTTCAGAGAAAGAACTACAGCCTGTTCAACTATTGATGTCCCATAGTCATATGTTGGCTATATGATGCCATAGCCATTTGGCTGTGGGTAGGGTAGATTTGAAGGACTTCAAAGAAACTACAGATGTTTCCCCTGTAGCCTGTAAAAAATTATTAGTTACAGAGAGTTTTTAAGTAAAATAGTGGGAATAGGGGCTATAGGGGACTTTGAAAATACTGAGTCTTGAGGAAGTCTTGCATATATGTGTGTATATTTGTAACATGTAGTTCCCATGGTCCCCTATACCTCTGGAAATTCCCATTAAACATTTATTAAATATGTATGTTATATTAGATTTTAAATGGAATTAGAATACCAAGATTTCTAATTATAATGTGTTTATCAAATAGAAAATAAGTAGACTAAATCCATTTGATGTTATATTTTGTGCAGCACAAAAAAAATCTGTCGTGTTGCAGATTAAGCTGTTCAAATATAATCTTTTTTTCATATCATTGGTAGCACTGACTGTGTTGAACTTTACTGGCATGAGTAAAGAAGAAAAGGGTAATATTTTAAAATATTAGAAATGTATTCCTCCAATAGCAAATGATATTTTGTCATCTACTTATTTATTTATCTAAATACATATATTTAGATAAATAAATAGATAAATAAATAAAATACATATATTTAGATAAATATTTAGATATATTTGTAAAAAAAAAGATTGAAGACTGCTGTTGTTGTAAAGGCAATATATATGATGTGAACTGATGGAGTGAAGGAATATCTGTTACTACTACACTGCCTAATTCACTTCCAGAAATCTTATATTTGGATTTCTGTGTAAGTGTACTTTTGTTTTTATAGATAAACAACAGTAGATGTGTTAGGCACCTGTAGAACATACACTGGCTCTGCGCTGGCTTTAGAGTTTGGTACTAGTTATTTGTTTGCAACTGCTTTTACTAGTTGCTCCTGCTTTTCTTTCCCTCTAAACTCTGAGCATAGATTTTGGCTTTTATAACGGGAATGCACAGAATTGTCATAAACCAATTTGTTTACAAAAAATCTTTTGATTAATACAGTGTAGAAATTGCTAGAGAGATGTGAGGTGAGTTTCAGACCTGTTTTGCTGAAGTGTGTGTTGGTAAGGACAAACATAGTGATTTTACCTGAGCATAAGGGACAAGAAGAATGATACTTGTAGCTCCTGATAACACTTAAAAGTCTCATGAAACAAACAAAAAAAATGCTGACACATAGCATTAGGAGCAGTGTTGCTAGCAGGTTGAGGGAGGTGATCCTCCTCCTCTACTCAGCCCTGGTGAGACCTCACTTGGAGTCCTGTGTCCAGTTCTGGGCTCCTCGGAGGGAGTCCAGCAGAGAGCTACAAAGATGATTAGGGGACTGGAGCATCTCTCCTATGAAGAAAGGCTGAGAGAGCTGGGCCTGTTTAGCCTGGAGAAGAGAAGACTGAGAGTTGACCTGATCAATGTGTATAAGTATCTGAAGGGAGGATGTCGAGAGCATGGGGCCAGACTCTTCTCCATGGTGCCCAGCAACAGGACAAGAGGCAACAGGCATAAACTGAAACACAGGAAGGTCCATCTGACCATGAGGAAAAACTTCTTGACTGTGAGGGTGACTGAGCGCTGGAACAGGCTGCCCAGAGAGGTAGTGGAGTCTCCTTCTCTGGAGATATTCAAAACCCCTCTGGACACAATCCCGGGCAACGTGCTCTAGGTGACCCTGCTGGAGCAGGGGAGTTGGACTAGATGATCTCCAGAGGTCCCTTCCAACCTCAACCACTATGTGATTCTGTGAAACTGGAGATGACCTGCATTTTTTCATTTACTTCTCATCTTCCTTTCCCATACTTACACTATTGATAAGCTGTGTTTCTTTTAGAGCCACATTGTAAGCTTACCTGTGTTTTTCTTCTGTGCAGCTTGGAGATTGTTTCTGTTTTATGAACTTTTTATATATCTTCCCTCACCCTGATTTTGAAGATAATTTCATTTATTTAGTCTTTGAAAGGGTGGGAAATGTAAATTAAGAATACTTTGCTAAGCCCAGCTTTGCACAACTGATTGTCTTGAAGGAATTTTGTAAGGCAATGTTAGCATGCAGTCTAAATGTGTCTTCTAATGAAAATGCATGTTGTGCCTCAGGGACATTCAAGCAGAAACCTGTTTATACAAATACAGTGGAATTTGAATTTGTATTATGTCTTCTTGGAGACTTTATCCCGTAATGCTTCACAGAAAGAAATGATGCAGTAGCAAGATTGTGGTAAATGTGTAACTGATGAGAGAGAGACAGCAAAAAAACAAAGTAATTTCACAAGCAATGGGACTTATAAATATTACTTTCCAAGAATTTGTGTTGTGGTTTGGTTCTCAGGTGTCTTAAAAGTAACAACCTCTGATCAAAGCTTCTCCTGCAGCTATGATGTTTATAGCATCTCTCTATTATGTGAAATTTTTGAGTACATATAAAATCCATTTCAACAACTTTCTGTGTAGAGCACTAGTAGGATCTTGTTCTTCTGTCCATCCACCAATTTTCATGAAACTCAGTGGAACTTCATAATGGTGAGAACTCTAGACTGTAACATTTACTGGAAATTGATTAGAGGGTTCAGTAGTTATTTTTGAGACACTGAGGGACAAACAGGTAGAGACCTGAAGCTGACTGTCTTAAAAGCAAATATAAATGTACATGGACTTGAGGGCTGCATAAGCTTCATTTCAAGGAACCAAACTAAGAGTTTATCAGGTAAGATTTATGATGGGTTACTACATAGGCTTTTTTTTTTTTTCCAAAGCAAAGGCGCTAGTGAGGTCAAATCTGAAGCTTGAAGAGTTCCATATGTAAATAAATACATACAAACATAAATATAATAGAAGCCTATGTATACTGTATCTGTGAAGGAAATAAAGATAAAATATACCAAAGAAAAGATATTCAGTAAGGTGGTGTGAAGTAAGTGCAAATTAAAAACAAGGATAATAAATGGATTCTAAAATGGAAGAAATGCCTGGGAAGTGTTTGCAGTTGAGATCTCCGACTGTATACAATGGAAAACAGTCAATGACATTTTACATTGACTGGATTGAAAAAAATTGGGAATTGTGAAGGCCATAGAAAAGAGGACTGTGGTTGTTAAATGCATTTTAATGATGATGAACAGATGTTAAAAAAAGTCTAACAAATGAATCTGAACAAATGAAGAATGAGAAAAAAAACATTAAACTCAAGAATCATACTGAAAGCATGGTAAATACTTCTTTTACCCAGCAAAATAATTCTGAACCTGAGGCTTTTAAATACAAAGGACACAATACTAAGCAGGAGTGGGAAAAAAGGTAGTAATATACAGGAGGCATTAAAGGTGTTAAATATAAATATAGGCATGAAGTCGAGGTAACTGATAAGATTAGTGGGCTGAGAGATAGATCTTCTAAGATTCCATACAGAAGAAACTTATGGATAACAGAGATCCCATCAACTGAAGAAAAAGCTAGACTTGGTTCAGCTGAGGGGAAAACAAACAGCAGACATGAAAACTTCTATAAAAAGGGAGGGGGAAGGAAGGATATTTATTGTGGAAAGCTGTTCTGATGTAAAAGAAAAAACAGCTTCTGTGCTTCTCTGTGTTTCTGCTGAGAAAGCAGCAGTGCAAAATCCCAAATAAACCTACATTGCTTCTGATGCACAAAAATAAATGTCAGAGCACTTTTTTGTAGAACTTGGCAGAAAAAGAAAAGGCTAAAATTAAATGCGGTAGTTGAATTTCAGAATCATGGAAGGGTTTTGTTGATTCTTTTGGAAAGGTAAGTCTTTCAAAATTGAGGGGAGTTACAATACCAGGAGCAATATTTACCATTACCAGTGCAAGAGGCAAGAGTAGGAGACAATTAAATAAGTATGTACGTTAATAAGTTTTTACAGAAACGTCAGTTCCTGCTCACCAGAGTTGCCACATCGTAACAGCCTTTCTCTTTATGGTTGGCTTGTGGGAGCAGCAATCTCCATGAAAATGCAAAACAGAGTTTGAGACCTCCTCCTCACTGCTGTTTAGGCTAGCTCTGTCCTTCCACTGGCTGGAGGGGGTGGGATGAGGACCACTAATTAGCTTTTGTATGCTTCAATCCTTAGAAGTAAGTTTCTAAAGGAACTTCTTAAAGCTTTCTAAAAAAAAAAAAAAAAAAAAAAAGAAAGCCTCTTGAATTTAAAAGACTTGCATCTAATAGATATTTTACCCTTTTTTTTTCTTTAGTTAAAAGATACAAGTCATGTATTTTATAATGCTGTCACTAAGGTCAGTCAGCCTTTGGGGAGAAGGAACATGTTTTTTACAGATAGGCTGAACTGTCTTAAAGTCTGCTTTGGGTGTGCATGTGTGTGTACTTTCTTTGCCATCTAACAGAGCCACCTATTGGGTTGAAAGTGACAAATGTTCAAAGTCTTAATGTTGGAAGGAAAAATGTTAGCTTTTTATGACTTGTGGTTGGTACCAGGGCTGGTAAAGCCTAAAAATGGTCAATTTCAGAAGTAGGTAAGAGCTAAAATTTTTGCGGGTAGATCCTCTTTTTGTAGCAGTAAAGAGACCTAAAGCTATCTGTGGACAGGATTACCTCTACTGCTCACTGCCCTATATAGACAGGTAGAAAAGATTGTCCTTGAACGACCAGATTATTGGCTTGCTGGTATGGGATAAGTTTTTGGTCCATCTAATCATCAGATGGTTAGATGGCCAGAGGTGGGGAAAGAGCACAAAGCTTTTTTTCTTGCATTGAAATAATGAAGTGGCAATTTACCACTTAAATCTATTCCTCATGTCTTTTTTCTGTTTGCCTTTATCATCCAGTCAGCACCTTCACAGCAGTGGTGAAAGTGTCAGGTTATAAAGAGACCCACTAAACCAAGCTTCTCAGAGGAAAGCATTGTTATTTGTTTGCTGTGATCTTTGATACAAGTTGAGGGTGAAAAGTTTTGAATAAAATTTAGCTGTCTCATTCAGGAGCATACTCTTGAACACTACTACAGGGCACTGTCAAAAGACTGTATTTAGGCTTATAATGTATTATCATAAACGTGTATGTATTTATACATGCATATATGGCATAGAGACAAAAGCACACAAAAATACATAAAGAAGTTTCTTTTAATATATGTTAGAATATTTGTGTGTATGTAAACATTTGGAAACCTCGTGCAGCAGAAGTCACTGTAGGCACTAATATTTTGACTTTGTAAAAAAAATTAGAATTTAGTCTTTCACTTGAAATGTAACTGGATATTTAAAAACTCATGGAGTCTTAGTTACAGCTTCTCAACCTTGCACAACAGATTCTATAAATCTCCTAGCTGATTTATGAAGGAGGCATATTGTATATGATACCACACTATTTAATTCTACTATTTAATAAAAGGCTACCTATTTAAAATGTTTATAGCCAAACACTGAATCTCTTGCCATGTAACCATAATTGATGAAAATGAAAAATAGATCACCTCTTTACATGTATGCAAGCAATATTTTCTATATATTATTAATAGCATTTGTATGGTTAATAATTCTAGTAAACTATAAAAACCCCATTAAAATGTTTGAATTTTGTGAAAGTAATGCAAAAAACTCTGCAAGCATAAGGTACAAAATATCCTTATGCACATACAGCTGTAATGGGCTTCCACAGTTTCATATTCACTGTGACTAAAACTTTATGTCTGTTTAAATAGTGTTGTGCATAGTTGCTATGATAGTAATCATTTTCTTAAAACTCTTTGGACTGCTTTAATAACGTTTTGCTGTATTCCACTGACCCTTGTTTCAATTTATATTTAAAGCAGCTATAGTCTAAATAGATTAATAGGTTCATATAGTTTAAGAATTAACATGGCAGTTGATTAAAAACACATGGTAAGGTGCCCCTCTATGGACATTTTTCATTCTTTTTACTGGTATAGAATATGTTTACTTCATAGAAAGCATTCAAATAAATAACACAGTATAGTACTGTGTTATTAATACCTCTTTTGGGGTATTAATCTGTGCTTAAGTGCCAAATGTTGGTGCTATTTTAAATGGTCTTTTCCTATTTTTGGGTATTGAAGTGCTACAAATGTGAACTGTCCAGCTAATGTCCTGACTCATAACGTAAGTAAATAAAATACTGGTATGAACCAACACATTTTCAAACCTAAACTTGAAAAAAAACCCAACAACAACATGCAGAACATACCAGCGTATGGAATATATCCACTACAAATAAAAGTTAAAAGACAAATGGGCAGAGATAAAATATACAGTCACAGACAGATTCCATTTTGATATCTTCTGAAAATTTCTGTGGTGATTAGTTCTAGGAGACAATCAGGTAAAAAGGTTGTAGTGTACCAGTCAGAGATAGAAGGACAGTTCTTACTTGGTTCAGAAGAGCAAACCACATGTGTAGTTCAAGTCGTTTTTTTTTGTTTTATAAACATATCAATATAAATTTCAGAGACAGAATTACCATCCAGAGCATCTCAGTTCACAGAACATCACATATATATTCAACCTACTCAGCACCTCTGGAATTATATACAAGGGTGCAGACTTCTGAATTGGTTATGCTATATGGAACACTCACTGGGCTTCCTGTTGAAATAGCTTTGTTGTGACTTTTTTTTTCCTATTTGATTCTGAAGTGGTGCCAGAGTCTTTAATTTTCAGTTTATGCTATCTTTATGGCTGCTTCGATCTGTATTGTGATTTAGTTCTTGATTTTTCCACTGAATGCTTGTTCCATTCATGGGCATTGAAGTCACTAGACTTTTGGATTGAGAGCAGCAACAGCAAAGACATGACTGGAAATAAATAAAAGAAAAATTTGGTTAACATGAATTTGTCAACTCTGTGCAGCCTGCCAACTGTATCCTTTCTTCAGAAGTGAACAGATGATTCTAAGTGAAGAGAGAGAGCCACACCCAAAGAAATTTTTTTATCATAAAATGCAAACAGTTCTTATGATTAACCATCACAAACACAGCAAATTACGCCTGTTTTTATTTAAGAAGAACTTTTGCAGCATCAAAAGGGAAATTTGTTTGACTAAGATAAACAGGTTGGGAACTAACAGAACTCCACACATATTCTAAGAGCTGGGGGAGAGTCCTCTCTCTCACTGTGCTGAGGACCTAGAAATCAGTAGTAGCTGCATAGCAAGTAGGGGTGAAAACAAAAACTCCCCAGAAAGTGATTTAGGTCCCTTCCAGCATTTTGGAGGAAGACAAAATTGTTTAGGAAAAGAGATGGTGAATATATTGAGATGCATAATTTTTTCATAGCTAAGAACAGAAGGGCAGTCAGGATCATGCCCCCAGGTCCTTTGCAGGAGGGGATGTTCAATTGTCTCCTCTGTTCAGAAAGAATTCTTTGGCTATCCTCCCCTCCCTTTACAGAAACCAATGCTGAACTCTCCGAAAGTGGGATCTCTCCACTTGACTGAGAGGAAAGTCATGCTCTCAGAGGAGCAAAGGCAGTAACAGCAGTTCGTCAATGACTTCTCTGAACTCAATGAGAAGGGAGTGTTGCAGAGGGGTAAGGCCAGACTTAAAATACATGTACTACATATCTGTGAGTGGAGATGTAAAATAACTGTGTTAGTACAGTGGCAGGGTGGGAAAGTCAATTATAAAATTGGAAGGTTGTCTGAATTAATCACATTGATGCTAGAAGGGAAAAAAGAAGTTACAGTGAAAATTGGGGAAGGATTAAATAATAGCTGAAAATTATTTCAATAGGGTTGGTTGGATAGCAATTTTATTTGGAAGGGCAAATGGAAAGAATGAGTTAATTGTATGGGGAGCAACCTGGTAGTACCCACTGTTATTTCTGCCTTGAGGACGAGTTCAGGCATAGTGTCTTCTCCACAGTTTCCGACTGAAGTATGGGACTGTCAATATCAATGTCTAACAGATGGCAAAATTGACTTCTTATTTCTCATGTGGAAATAACCCCTTAAAAATAGTAAGTTTGAGTGGGCTACAGAAAAACAAGCATTCTCTATTTTAATCGTTTATTGTATTTTTCAATAGCTCATGTCACCTATTCACAGCTTGAAGGTTTATTGGTACAATTCTTTTTTTTTCCTTTGCAGATAAAGCTATTTCAGTATTCCATTTCACCACTTTCTTCCCCACTACTTGCTCTCATTTTCTTTCTTCCTGTATTGTCTTTATTAGGTGAATGGGAACTTGCAGAGGCAATGCAATGAGAAAATTATTTTAGCCTTAAAATATATTTTTCCTGTGTTGGAATTAGAAAAATGCAGGTAAAAGACATAATGCTTACTTAACTGCCAAAGTCAACTCGGGTTCCTAACTTTGGTATCCAAGCTTGAAAATTTTAGTCAGAATGTGATTGTTTAACTGCAGGCAGATTTGGTATCTTCTGTGCATGTCCTTTGTCCTCACTCAGAGTGGGAAATACGTTATCAACCAAATTCTGCCTCACGTACGTGCCACATGCAGATAAATAGTACTTAACAAGAGCATGACTATTTCAGCGGTTGTTTACATATGAGGACTGTGTCAAACTTATTTACTGGTTTAGCATTTCAGATAATGTGGATAGTTTCAGCTCTCAGTTTGGTATGTGTGCTATGTGACCTGCTAGCTGGTAAACTAGATAATTTATAATCCTTCATTCCTTTACATGCTTCTCCTCACAACTGATGAAAATAGATAGTAACTAAGTGGTTTAATGCAGTTCATCAGCTGGACATACAATCTCATCAACAGTATCTTACCTGAAAACAGTTTTTAAACTTCTTGCTCACAAAATAGAGAGCTATTGGGTTTATACAAGAGTTCATGGTTGCCAGGTTGATGCTGATATAATCCAGTGGCAGCAAGAAACTATGCAACAAAAGGAAAAACAAAACATTTAAACTCTTCATATACTGTCAAAGCATCTGTGCTATTTGTGGTTGCAGTCTCTTCTGTCACAGAAAGTAATCCTCTGTCAACTAGCTCCCTCAATCTAATGTTTTACCATGCTATGTCTGGCATAACCAGTCTGACAGAAGTTCACAAAGCAGGAGGAAAGTGATTGAAATGGCATTAGACAACATTTATTTTAATTATTGTACCCCATTACAGCTGAAACCCCTGAAAACAGAAGGATATAGTAGAAAAATCATAAAATAAGAGTCAGTTCTAACATCACAGTTACATGCACAATGACATTTCCTACATAATCTCCAAATGTGCTGCATTATATTTTTTCAATATGAACACTTGATTGATATAAGAAAATAGGGTACCTGAGCAGTTCACATCTGCCAGGGTCTCTTTCGTTGTATACCATTTTCTTCAAAATTCGGCTCAGATGGAGAGGGAACCAGCAAAGAGCAAAAATCACTACTAAACAGAAAACTGTCTTTGCAACTTCTCGACGCTAGAAGAAGAAGTAAAGAAAATGATTACTGATGGTCTTAATTCATATTGGTAGGTGACTGTAGTGGAGTGATGTTGGCAGCAAAGTAATCTAGATAAGCATGCAAAGATTCCCAAAGCACTACCAGATGTCTATGAAACCTTTTTTATGAAGCTAGTAAGTTGAGCTAGTTCTTGAAATCTGGCCATCCTCAACAGAACCTACTGATCACTAGAGCAGCTAGAGCACATGAGTGATTGCTGGGATATTATATTGGAGCTGTCACCCAAGGAAAATCCATTGCTGGACTTTCCTGAACCTGACTACTTTCCCAGCCATTCCTATTACTCTGCACTCAATTAGTTTTCTGGCAATCCCTTGGATACAGTTCTATCTTCAGGAGCATACATACTCTGCAAGGAGACTTTTTCATGTATTAGGGAAACTGATATTACACTGGACTGATAAACCACTTTCACCAAACCCTTGATTTGGGGCAATTTGTAAGCCCAAGGCACCTAAATCAATTGGTAATAGAAGTTTCATTCAACTATGTATCTAGTCGGGATGTTGAATTCCTTGTAATGTACTGTTTTATATTTAGTACGTGTGCATCATGTCATGTAAAGGAATACTGAGCAGGAAAGAGTTGCACAGTGTATTAATTTTGCTATGTGTCCTTGCTGTGTGATTTTGATGATCTTGAACAAATAGTCCCTCTACAAACAAAATTTTATAATTTTATAAATCTCTGTATTACAGCTTAATCACATAATACTTTGTCAGGAAATAATTTAAATTTGATGGATATTTTGTGTGGCTCTAGAGATTTACATATGTTTTAGTGCATTTTGACAATGCATATGAGTAGTATTTGGTAGGCATGGATTTGATGAATAGAGCCATATGTAGGGATGAGAATACCACTTCTTGAACTGCCACTGTAGTGTAACAATAACAAGCATTGCAAGGCTCTGTCATTCAAAATTTTAAAGTCAAATGTGTGATTAGATTAAGTCTTGTTTGTCTTTGAATACAACTATTATTGTTTCTTCTTTCTTTTAATAGCAGTTTTCATCAAAGTATGAAAGGATCATAACTAGACATTAATGTGCTACAAGGCTGTAGGGAGGAAGGAGAAAGGGAGGAAGAGCAAAAAGTGGTAGTTAAAAAGACACTTTACATTTCTAAATTGTGGCATAAATCCGTCTTCCAGTAACTAGTCCAAGTAACATGCTGGGCACTGCACTTCATGATGGAGAAAGAGGGAGGGAAGATTGCCCTGTACATACCATTCTAGTCCTAATGGGTGGAGTAGATTATGTGGGGCCCTAGGAGAGTCTGTGTTGCAGGCCCTGGGGCCTGATGAGGGAAGGAAGTGGAGGATCTGCACCATGGGAGGATCTTCCGGTCCGCCCAATCTGGAATGAACCAGCAGAGGGAGAACCCCTTAGAGAACTCACTCAGATGCAGAGGGGACTGCTTTAGTGATTCACATTTCTAAATCAAAGGGTGGGATTTGATGGGCTGAAGTTAACATTGTATCCTATTTTCTGACTAACTGCAGGGAAAAAACTACAGATTATTTTTAAAATTTCAATTAGGAATGAAAAATCAGAGAGCACTGCAAAAACACCAAAGAGAGATTTGACAGTTTTGTGAATGACTTTGCTCTATGATCAGTTGTTTGATGAAGTCTCTTACTGCTCTTTTCTATAGCTAGTACAGCTACAGTAGTGGTACAGCAACAGTGAAACAAGCCTGAGAAAACTCCAGTCTATTCTAAAACCAGGTTAGTCTATTATTGCTTTTCATAGGATACAAAAGTTGCACATCAGTGTGTGCCAAAAATAGGAAGGACCCATGGAGTTGTATCTTTATGAATAAAAAGTCAAGAAGCAATTTTTTGGCAAATCTTTGTAATTAAATTCCAGTAATACCAGTAATTCCAGTATAACCAGTAATGATTTAAGTTTAAAGGGCAGAAGAGCAGAACTGTCACACTTAAGAAAAGAAATAAACTTTGCTGAGCTTCCAGAGAATGTTGTCTTCAATATCTCGTTATACTATGATCTCTTGTGTCTGGGTTTGACTGAATATCTTAAGGTCTATACAAATAACCTACATCCTCACTTTCTATTTCTATAGCTTACTGTATTCAGATACACTTTGAAACGTTTTTAAGCTAACTCAAAGATAGAAGAACAGTATTTTCAAGGACTGGTGTTCTTAATATTTACCTGCTTAAGATGTTCACTGAGAGCAATTCTCAAATTACTGTTCCTTCTGTTTAACATTTCACAAGTCATTAGTGTGTAAAAGATAGCAGTACATGCCAGTGGCATGCAGAAATAGAAACCAAACAGCCACCAATCCTTTGCATCTTTGTAAAACTGCAGGTAAGGGAAAGAAAAAGAGAAGATATGTTTTTAAAAATCAACAGAAAGTACCACAGAAATGTAACAGAAAGCGTGACAGTTGATATGGTTCTTATAAGTCTAAGCCTGTTGGCAAACAGTACTGCACTATGTCAACTTTCTTATCATTCTGATCTATTTTGGACCAACATCAAAATGGGAATTGTGGCAGTGTAAACATTTAGTTTACCTTACGGATAGCCTGTCTGTACCTTTGTTACGATCTGTTTTGAGTTGGAATTTATTTCTTGTGATTGTGTTTTCTGGACATGTACTCTCATTCATGAAAACTGGAGCTCAGTTTTCACAGAAATGACATGCCTAAAGGTAGCAAGTGTCAGTCTGCGATAACAAATCTCACTAAAAGCCTCAGGAAATGCCATTTACCTCTATGGCTCCTGTCCTGATTCCAAAAAAGGAAGGTTCAAAATGTCTTGTAAGTTTAATCATCTGTTGTTATCAGTGAAAAGATTGCTAGTTGGTTTGCTTATGTACTGGGCAGATAGAGGCCACTTCATAAGTATTTGTCTGTTATGCAAAACTTAGGACTGGTGGCCTCCAGTGGTATAGTTACTTTTAACCCTTTGCCTGCCATTTATACCATTTGACTTTTGTGACTGGTCACAGAGGGAATTGATATCATAGCATTACTCTGCTGTGTAATTTTAACTCTTAACTGTGGTTTAAGGTTTTATGTATTATGGGAAATATTACATTTGAAAACATTTAAAATTGTACTTTTCTGCGGATAATTATATTTGCAGAATTGCAAAAATACAGTATTTTGGTATTTAACTTTTATACTCAGTCAAAACTGTGCATTGAAGTAGGACATTTTAAATACTTCCTGTCTCTACGTTATTAGTCACTAAGATGGATGTGTGTAAAAGGGAACCTTCTTTCTCATAATCTTTCCTTTAGCTTGTTTATTCCTAGTGCATGTGCTCTTGTAACATCCCAGTTCCCACACCAAATGTCAAAATGCTAATAACTAAGGATTATATGAATCCCATTTGAAAAACTCAAACATCTGGCATCTTGTTTAGATTTAAAACTGACTAGCGCTAAACTTTGAAAGATGAAAATGGACGTAATTTAATAGACTAGTATCTAATAATGTTATTTTTTTAATTTGCTTTAGTTACATCAGAAAGTTGAGTTACTGAGAAAAGGGGAATGTTTTTTGTTTTTATCCTCCCGCCCTGATAGACAGTAAGTGGCTTAAAGTTTGCTAATTTAGCATAAACTACTGGTATCTAGGCCACAACCCCACCCCACAGGACATTTTGAACTGTGTTGATTAGCTTGTTTTCTCTCCCTCTTTAGCCTCATCCCTGGGAAAGGAGGGGCTGCGATCCACTGCATAGTTGCACTCTCCTTGGGGGCAGAATTTCCCCCCTGGGAACTCAGCTTCTGCCAGCAGAAAACCAGAAAACAGTATGCTTCATATTTTAAGAATCCATACCAAGGGGAAATCTAATTAGCACTCCTTCTGCAGAGAAAAGGACTGCAAATACATAGAGACAATTATTTTTTCTGTGGCAGATTCCTTCAGGTTACACTAGAAGCGCATTGGCTGGGCAACGTAGTAAAATGCGTACTGTGTGAATCCATGCTATATTTACAAGGCAAACTTTCTATCCTGATAGTCTAGCAGCTTTTGTGAGCATTGCATGTCAGTCACAGAGAACACGCGCACACACACACGCACACACACACACACACAGTTCTGTGTATCAGCCTTGACCAATGCATTAATTCTGTAGGAAGACCTGGCTTTGTGAAGTTATAAAACCTACATGAAAATGTCTGCAAATGATTAATTATGAAATCTGAGCTTCACAAAGCTTACATCAAAGCACAAAATTGGGCGGATTTAAGAGAAATAGACATTCTTCTGTTTGTCTCGAAAGTCCATATGGAACTGGTTTTCTACAGGAAATGGGCATTTTAAACAAGTTTCTTAGTGCACTCAGCCTCTTGGGAATCATGGTCAAGCATGAATCTTTCAAGTCTTTCAGGGATAATTTTAAACATGAATAAGGCTCCTATTAAAAACAAAAGTTAATCTTAATTCCTTCTCAAGGTTTAATGTGTTTAAGGTGATTGTTTATTATGGTGTTTGTGGTAGTAAATACTATAGTTAAGTTAAAATAGTATTTCCATTTTAATATCAAGTTTTTACTTGCTTGCAACTCATTGAAACACTATCCATTTAGGCTGAGGCTTCCAATACTTAATTCTCAGTTTGAAAGTAAATGCTGGTTTGTTTCCTGGAAAATCAAATTGGCGTGGGGGGATTTGGAGCTTTTGAATTGTGCTGAGCCTGTAAAAGGTACTAATTGCTGCTAAGAAACAAAAAACCAAGCTATTCTACTTAATGAGTTAAGAGCAGAACAATAATCATTAAAATTAACATGCCCACAAAAGACTTGAACTGTAATGTTTTTGAGAAGAGTGAAGAGAAAACCATTATTTTTCTTAGGGAGAGAGCAAGTGAAGATTGTCCAGGCACATTTGTGGAAAAAAAGCAGCCATTACAAAAGCAAAAAGCCTAGATTGGCTGCAGTAAACATTTCATAAGTCGCATTCTTGTAACTAAAATATCTGCAGCCATATAATCTATGGACTTTAGAAACAAAGATATTGTAAGTCCTGCGCGACTCTACTCCCTCTTCACCTACATGATTTATTTCCATCAGGGAATGGCTTTTGTTTTCTCTTGTTCTTGTCTCTTGCCATTTCTGCCATCCTTGCAGTCTGTGTAACCATACTGAAGTTGGGGATCTTTCACTGAAAACCATGAATCATACAGCCCTTTTATTTTCTAAATTTCCTAGCTGTGTTTTGTGCCTTCCCCTCCCCAGTTCTAGTCCAAGCAATGTTATGATCCCATAAAAGAAGTGTCAGACATTTGGAAAAAAACAGAGAAACTTGCATTCTATCAATCATGAGAAATTCTAGCTCAGGAAAAAATGTGGCGTTTACCTCAATCTGACAGCCCAGAACAGTAATAATTTTTTATTACTGGGTAGACTGTAGCTGGCCCGTTTCTGGGTCCACAAAGGAAAATATAAGATACCTTTTTCCCATTTTATCAGTGGAGGGACAGGCAGAACCACCATCCTTCTATGCAGTAAAGATATGTTAACTCTGTAGTGACTTCCACCTGACATGCTTTGAACAAGCGAATGTGGGTATTAGCAACTGTTAAGCTGCAGTAGTTTGGTGGATGAGGGCTATGAAACATGCCAAAGAAGCCTGATACATACTCAGGCACTTCTCTTGCTCTGAATTTTGTATTGCTGTGTCTAGGTGACAGCTAGCAGTGCCCAGCCTTCTTAGGTTAAGAGATATGACTCTGTCAAATTTGTAGCCATGAATTCTTATAAATGAAGGGGTTATTCTATTCGACTTTGTAAATGGCATTCAGAAGAGGAAAAGTTATGTTAGAGCATGGCCCCACCCTTTTCTTTTTCTGCCAAAAGAGCTGGCTGCCACATACAAAACAATGACTCATCACAGTAAAACATGTTTTCTGACAGTTACAAGCACCAGGGTGTTATACCTAGAAACACAATACCTGCTAAAGCTCTGGCTACACAGGTACTGTTCTTGACTGTACTTTGATCAGGCCTGTATTGTAAATTACTGGTTTAAGAATCCTCACTAGTGAAGGAATAAAAATGTTGTAAAGTCACATTTGCCATCTCTGGATGAAAGTAGAGACTGACCACTGTAAATGAAGGATCCTCCTTGCACCAGTATGCATTAGAATACATTTTACACTTTAATGGATGTATAAAGCATATTTTAACATTATAATCCAGTATCTTAAGTGTCTAAGTTATGTACTGCTGATCCCGAGAAGAGAAGAAAGGGTGTTACTTACCAACATAAAATTATTTGTAGGATTAAGCATGCAGGTAACATAACCTTCATCCTTATATCTGAAAGGTACCACAGCAAAACCAATTGCTTCTGGAATAGCCAATATAAAGGACAGAAGCCAAATGGAGAAGATTTCAATAGCAGTGATCATAGGGATTCCAATTCCCTGCACACGGCTCCAGGAGGCAACTGCTCTGTACCTGAAAGAGACAGGCATTAGATTCCAATCTATCTCCAATATTCTCCTTAAATCCAAAGATCTTGGTCTAGTTTTAAATATTAAATAAAATCCTAAAGCTGACATCCCAGCTTGTTTTCAACTTGTATTGCTTGTTTTTACATGCACTAATGGTTTCTGATTAAAGTAGGCAAGGTTTGTGAGGCTAGGCAATGTCTTTTACTAGATTAGCTTATATATGAGAAGAAAAAAAGCTTTCAAGCCCAGATGCCATTCTGCAGATCTGAAACAGCTTATCTCCTTCAGCCACATCAGTAGTAACATGTTGCTATCCGAAGTGAAGTTGTCAGCTTGCACACAATGAAATACTGTGAAAATACTCTCCATAATATGAAAATGCACTTGTTTTACTTATTCTCTCTAAATGTTAAAAAATACTGGGTTTATGTGGCATTTTTATACTGACCTTAGACTACAGCTGAGTGCTAGCTAATTAGTACTGTCTGGCTGCCGATTCAAGTCTGAGCCTCTGCCTCACCTTTCCGATAAGAAACTGAAGTGCACAGCCAAGAAAAGTCTGTACATGCCAGAAGCAACACATTGCTTTATGTGTTGCTTCCCATGACTTTAGCCCTTAGATGCCAATTTTCTCTGTGAAAAATGAAATTATTGAAACCTGCTTTCCTATATATATGTATCTCATAGCTGTAATCTCTGGTAAAAGGTGAGAGTTCTTAAAGAAGCTTTACACATGGTCAAGCATTTATAGCATTTCTCACTTTTCCCCTTCTTCCCTTTACCTTCTCCATCCCTTCCATGGGGGATTTTTGTTATCAGGTTGCAGCTTTTCTCCCAGTACAGGAACGTAGAGAGTCTTTCTCCTCTACTTGTGTGCCAGTTTTTAAGGAACTTTTAGGGATTTTTTCATCCTTGAGATCTCAACCTCTCTGCCACGTTTAGTCAAAAGGTTCACAAATTATTGGGAGGAGACTGACAGGCATGCAATACAGAGTACAAACTGGTCCATAAATAAAATTTTCAGTAGCAGACTGTAAACTGTTCTCTGGGAATAACTGCAGTAAATTAGTTACTTAGCATTTGCAACAATTTAGCAAAAACAGTGCTATCTCAAAATTAGGGCAAGAACAAACAGTATTATTATCTTGTAATAATCTGAAGTACATGCTGGACAGATTTCTTTCATCTGTGACATAATGTTTTCTAAACTGCTTATTTTACTTCCTCAAAATAGTTACAGCTTCCTGTCTGGAATTATAGCGCTGCATGGCTTTATCATGGCATTCACTGATGAAACATTCTTCTTTAGCTGAGAGGGAACAAAATTAAGAAAAATTGTTCCCCTACTTTAACTATGTTAGAACAAGGTCATTGAAGCAGATTAAGAATTTATAAGAAGCTATGTCATGTTATTGTGCTGGTTATGGCAAGTACTCTTTTCTTCCTCAGACATGCCCTCATTTTCTGCCTCTCTGTGTCCTGGCAAACAGATTTGGATGTGTGCAGTTGCCACCTCTATTTTTAAAGCTTTTTCAAGGCAGGAGCCAGGGTTACAAAACAAATGAGGTCGTGATTTTAGCTGATGACACTGGCTATTTGGAGTACAACAGGGAATACCAGCAGGGACAAGGAAGGTGAGGAATACCAGCAGGGACAAGGAAGGTGAAGGGTGTAGGAAAAGGAGGTGCCTTCAGCAAATCAGGAGTATATGATTTGCAAATATGTAGGCTCTGAGTTGAGGAGCTGGATGAACTTTGGCATAGACAAGTTGAAACTGGGAGGAACAGGGGAGTTTAGATTGGGAAGCTTTAGGCTGGATGATGTGGGTGTGGAAGGATTAGGGTAGGAGTTAGAAAGGGGAGTGGAAGGACTACAGAGTTCTGACATGCAACAGTTTTGAGGAGGAATTGACCAGGAAAGTACTGTGGGTTTGAGGGCTCCTGCCTAACAAGGGTTTAAGGAAAAGAGCGCTTAAGAGCTCTGAGTTGGGATGCAGTGAGTGTACTGAGAGGGGGTGGAGTTTGGTTTTTTGAGATGGAAGGGGTAAAGAGCTTCTGAGGAAAAGAAAAGTTAGTTAAGGCAAGTAGGACCCCAGGCTACAGAGGTCAGTAAATGTTAGGGTTATTAAAAGGCATCCTCCCCTTACAAACTTCTCTGAAAAAAACAGAGGGAGGAAGGTGCATAATGCAAGATCAGGCCTTCTGTCCCTCAAGAAAAGTACAGAAAGCATTATTACAGAACATCACTGGAAGGTGTCAGAGCCTTGTATAACATCGTTCCTGTAGTAAACAGACTAGAATCTTTTGCTTTGGTAGCAATATCATACACAGCATAGTCACAGGTATACTAGGGACAGGTTCTTAGTACACCATTTTAACAGAAATAAAACTGTATAAACTGAAGATTTTGAACATACTAAAGCAAACTAGCACATTTTAGACCTGCAGATTAAAAAATGAGAACATGTAAAGGCATCCTTTATCTTCAAAGAATGTCTTGAAGGAGGGAGGCAGTGTTTCACTCATGGGGAGGAGGCCTATAAGGTTGGAATTTTGAGAGCATACGAATGAATAAACTATATTGAAGTGATTGAGAAAGTTAGCTTCATCATAATATCTGCCTACACATATTAATTCATATTAGAATATAATTTTGAATCATGTTTGTGATCCTTTCATATTTTGCCTTTTGCCAAATAACAAATTTTGGCTTTAATTACTAGATTAAATATACTTAGGAACATACCCTTTTGCACAAATACTCAAAGATTTGTACCAAGTGAACTTTGACAATTTTACAAACAATTCAAATTTTACTTTCTACTGACTAGCAGTTTTTCAATTAGTCCAATCAGTTGTACAAGCTACATAGTACTATCTCATCATCCGTGACTGAATGATGTTCTTAACAAATAGTGGTTTTAAACTGTGGACTGTAAATATTTTTCAAATAGGGAAAGCAAAGTTTGTATTGTGTTACCCGTGTAAATTTAGTAACAACATATGAGTTGTAAATTGTGAATTTGACTTTCCTTTCTTGCATTTTTTGTACCTGTTCTGTTTGTGTTACATGCACAGCAGTAGGAAATTGGGACCTGTATATGTTTTATTGGTAATTTTTTCAGTTCAAAATTCAAATAACCCATCAGATGAGGAATTAGAATTTCATGAATGATTTCAGCTGAAGTATACAAAGCTCAGTAATTAGACCAGAGTATGTTGAATGCGTATTAACCTGCAATTACTTGGTATCTTATTGCTGTAAGAGTGACGCGAAAAATAGTGATAGTAGGATAATTTTTCAAGTGGGTGTTCTGTGAATTATGTAATATATAGCGTCTTTGTCTAGCCACAGACCTCCTATAATTAGGAGTGGCAAAATACTGCAGGGTTTATTTCCCTCAAATTTAAAGAATATAGGACATCTGCGAGGGAACTGAAAAAAAATGGACACATCATACATTACATTTAATTGCCAAATCTAAAATCTGTGTGTGCGTGTGTTTTATCTTACTTTTCTTTTACTGTTTGTTTCCTTTTTCTCACAAACCTTTTCTAAAACATTCAGTGCTTTTCCAGGTCATTTCCTTTTCTTTATTTACTGCTGTGGCTCCTCTTCCCTCTCCTCCTCTCATTTTCTACTGCTTACCCACGTGCTGTCAACTTTAGTGCCGTCTGCCTTTCAGTTGCTCTCTCCCCCGTTTTCTCTGCTTCCTTTTCTTCACCCATTCTTAGCTATTTATTCCAACTTGCTTTTCATGGACCCTGCAGTCCCTCCTGCACAGAGGTGCACAGCATTTAAGGACATGGGACCATTATATCATGACGTATACCTATATACAATTAAATGTTTTGCACTTCTATTTAGTTACAAATTGCTTAAAGCAGGTCTTTCAGAAGGACATCTTGTCTTGATCTGAGGCTATTAAGAGCAGGACCCCTGCTCCTCTCCCTGGTGGTTTCTTCCCGTAGTTAATTACCTTCATTGTTAAAAATGCATACCTTATTTTCATTTGGAGTTTGTCTAGCTAAAACCTCGATAAATGGGTTATCATCATACCCTTTTTTGCTAGGCTAATGATCCCATGGATACCTGATACATTTTCTTTGCTTCAGTACTTGGCCGCCATAGTAAAGCAGCTTCTTCAGTATCATTTTTGATAAGCTACAAATTGAGATCTGTAAGGGCTTTGAATCATTTTGTGATGCTTTTCTCTACCTTCTCCATGATTTTGTCAGTGTGTGATCAACTGTAACTCTAGAACTCTAATGAGCCTTCCAGTATTGGTCTCATTAATGCTGTATGCTTGTGTTTTTTGCTGTGGCCTTGATTACTTTCTGGAACAATTTAGATGAATTTTATTATAGTGGTATCTAGTCAGAATTAAAAAAGAATACTTAGTATGGGCCATATAAAATGAAATCAAGAAGCATAAGAAAATGAAATGATGGGCCATAACTTGTTGGTGAACTATCAGCCCCTTACTCCTGCTGTCTTAGAGTAGGTGCTTTCCTCTTCCATTCCTTTTGACTAATCTTGTATTTCTAAAGACATAAAAAAGAATTAGAAAATTAGTTGTTCAAATGACCCATTGGTATGAAATATTACTACTCTGCAAATACTATCAGCCCTGCTTATAAAAGGCAAAAGCAATACAGAAAAGGCAAGAGACTTGATCAAGGACATAAGAAGCAGTCACTGTCAAGATTGGAGTTAGAACAGTTCCTAGATGACACTGCTGTTCCTAATGTTGATCTATTCCTGTTCATCATGAGAGATCACAGCAGTTCTTCATTTTAAAGATAGCCAGTAGTGTGTTGACTGGAAAGCTCTTAGTGTAATAAAGCTCTTTTTGCTTTGTGTTATTATATAATCTTGACTATCTAATACACTTATTGGAAGTTGGTCTACCAGATGAAAGCACCTAACTTGAGATTACTGTTCTAAGCAATGCATTATGCAGAAGGGACAATACACTGTATGCATGTGAACTGAGATCCCTTTCTTCACTCTTCATCTTAAAATCCTCTCATTGCCTGAGAGATAAGTAAGAGTAAAAGCTCAGGAGAGAAAATACTCTTCCTCTTAGTCACAGTCAGGCCCTGTTTAGAAAAAGAATCAGATTATAGTCATCATCGTGACCCAGAGTTTAAAAATGCCTGAGAGGCATCTGTAACAACACGAGCTTTCTCTGAAGGGTGAATGGCTGGTTTGGTGTTATGTGTCAGCCTCTGAAAAACCTCTCCAAATGTAAGTAAGTGGGCGTTGTTCCCCTTGGCCATGCACAGTTAAACCTTAATACGCTGTCAGTGCAAGGCACTTTGTGCAAGGGGCACTAGTCATGAGTGGAGTTTCACAATAGAAGGAGGATATAGTCGGCCTAGATACCAATCTTGGTAGAAAAGAACAAGCATTTTGTTCTAAAGCAGGGTCATAGTCTGCAAAAGAGGATCAGAGAGTCAATTACTGAAGCTGTGGAGCTCTGACTTGATTATACCAGTTGACTCCATCTATTTCTACCTTGGAGAATGCAACCCCATGTATAGACACCTAACTAACTGTAAATGAGCTAGCTTTCAGAAGCTTTTTGAAACTAAAAATGAACTAATCTGAAGACTAGGGAACAGTCCAGCTGTGACAGCACAGAGCTCCATGCTGGCTGGTTTTCCTTATTAAAAAACCTACATGAGCTGATGTGGAATTCTGTACTAATGTGACCATGCTAATTCCAGTGCCTAACGCTTACTTGTTGAAAGTACTGTCAGATCCCGATTTCACCATAATTTAACCTGGATACACCTCATGTTAGTTACTGTCAGAATCTGGCCGTATGCATCTGTTTTCTAACACACATTATCTGCAGCTATTTACTAGTAGCACCAGGTGATAAAGAATTTGTCCTTGGCAAAGCATGTAAACTGTGAGAGGAAATTAAGTAAGCTCTGTCTGACCCCATGCAAGGTTTCATACTCAAATGCAAATGGCATATGGTTGTTGTGGGGATTAATTGGTGCTTGTAAATATTTATATATGCGTATCTAAAGAGAGAGCTTCAGTTTAGTTACTTCCAATTTACAAGAACTCATGTAACAGTAGAATTAAGTCTAGTGGAATTGCATTGGTCAGAACTTAGCTAACAAGCTTCACATGTGCTTGATCTAGGAGTTATTCCTTAGAGCAATTCTCAGGATTGTATTTTATGCTAGGCAGATACCATTTGGGAAATATAATTCTTTTTATAGTGCCCAGACTCATAAAGGAGATAGAGCACTACCTGCATTATGGCTTTTTGTTTCTGGGCTCAACTAATGATTTAATACATGGGTTACTAAAACAGTAAGGAACTGTATTTCAGGTATGTATACTACTAAGTCACTGATCCCTTGTAAACCTTACTTATCAGCTCTTTGTGTAAAACCAAGCAAAGCTTATTTTTAAAGTCTTTGCATCACTATATTAATACATGTAATGAAGGATATTTATCAACAAGCTATGTATGAAAATTCCTTATATTTTGTAGTAAAACATGAGAAAGTAAACTCAAGACCAAGAAAAATAGATTTTACAGAAGCAAAGACTTTGTCCGCTCTTGCTTAATATATATGAAGAAAAAAGGCATAAAGGAATAATATTTAAAAGCTTCTTAGCTGTTGTCGTATCATCCTGTTTATACATCTTCCTGAGCACTTTTAGTAGAGGCATTAGTTTTTGAACCATCAAAGGAAGTTTCCAGCAAGGTTTTCAATAAAATTCAATTAGTGATATATGTTATCAAAATAAACACTGTAATTATATTCCATAGGCAGTGCATTGAAAAGGGTCACAATTATTTGTAAGACTTAAAATTATGAGCCTATTCAAACACAAAACAAACATGAGACCAGATGAAAGAAAAAGTCTGAATTCTGAGCCAAATACCAATAAAATTCTGTCTGGAAAGGAAAATTGAGATAATGCTTTAGTAGAGCCTTCTGAAGAACAAGAAGTAATTATATACCTTTTTAAAAATCTATAAAGTTAATTTGTAGATTAGCTTTGTATTATATTTTGAGCTACAAAATTGGTGATAGGTTATAGCCAGGTTTTCAAATAGCAGAATATGGATTACATTTGTATTTCAGTCTGCCTATGAAAATTAAAGCATTTCACATATCTAGTCACATCCAAAATTGTTGAAGGTTAGAAGGCTAGATATAGTCGTCTTACCTTCACAGTGATGTAGTTCATGGCAAATAAACTGAAATATATATGAATACTGTTTTTTCTTGTGTGTATACCTAAAATGAGGTGGGAGTTTTTTTGGTGACGCAGTCTGGATATAGTCTCTGCCTTTAGAAACTGAGGTTTGTAGAATTTTTTATCAAGTGATTTGTCCATGAATATGAAAGAAGTAAGAATTATGCAGGATTAGTATACAGAGATTCTTGGTATTCAGGCATGTGCTTAAAGCTTGTTACCTGCCTTCTGGTATATGAAAAAATTGTCTTTAATAGGTACAGTTTCAAAAATTAGCATGAAATACATCTGAACGGTTACACTGACTTTCATATGCTTTTGAGAGCATGAACAAGAAACAGTGACAAATGTACATGCCCATAACTGCTGAGGAGACCATATTGAGTACTCCTAGTTTTAGAAAAAATTGCAAAGGAAAGAACAAGGTCTGCCAAAAGAGTGCAATATACTGTACCTGTCCACACTAAGGGCACAGAGATTAAGGACTGTGATTCCCACCGATGCCTTCTGTATAAAGGGAAGGAATTTGCAAAGAAACTGTCCAAATTCAGAATCCCCAAAAGGCCACTTCTGAGCAAGGAGCTAAAGAAAAGACACAAAATAATCAGAATATTTAAATAATAACTTAGCAACTATGTATTGATTGTAATTATTTCCTGTTTTAGACATAACCATTTTGTGTTCCACAAACCATGGCATTCTCCATGCCTCAAGCATATCCTTTGCTACTGAGTGAATCTGGATAGTAACTGCTGCTATGGAAGCATGGAGGGTGAAAATATAAGTATTGATCTTCTACTGTTGTAATAGTAATTTGCATTGTTAGAAGATCTTCTCTTAAGGTACTTCAGCCACCAATACTGAATACTGAAAATCTAATTCAGCCCTGTCATAACTGGTTGCAATTACCATGCCTCTTCCCAGAACCAAGCATTGAAAGCATAACTCGCAGTTCATAGTGAAGTATTTCATAGCCAAATTCCCATGTTGCACACAAGTAGATTCTTGTCACTGTAAATATACCACTCTGTAACTCATGGCAGTATTCACTGCCAGATTCTTAAGCATGTGGAGAAAACATTGTACACACATAATTTGTTCCATATTATGCTTTAAAGGACTAGCATCATACATGTGGGCTGTACTACAAGGCAATGGAAAGGCACCCCTTTAGAAGGATATGATTGAGTGGCTGATGTTTAGATTAGTATTTCCTCAGGGGCATTAACAGAACAAATATGAGTACATTCATTCTTGTGAATAATTAGTAAGTAAACACTAATCTTTCTGGCTGTAACTGTTAATGTTTCAAACAAGTAAACGTACAAAATACATGATACAAAATTATTCAGGATAGTCAAATCTACAACTGACTGCAGAGTTACAGATGATCTCGCTCTACTGAGTGGGCAATAAAATGGCAGATTACATTCAATGTCAATAAATGTAGTAAGTGAAAAATTATTAAGGCCATACAGAATATTGAGCTCTAACTTAGCTAATACCACTCAGGAAAGGGATCTTGGAGTCACCATGACCAGTTCTTTAGAAAAAAGAAGTTGTTAAACCTTCTCACCAGAAAAGGATGGATGAGTCTTGCTCTGTGGTTTTCTAATCCTCCTCCCTAAGCTGCTGCTACTGAGTCTTTGTCAGAGGTAGAATACTGAGTAAGAGGTAAACTAAGTTCTTTGTCTGACATAGTACAGCAGTTCTTATGCTCTTATCAACTTCTATTCAAGCGGTTGTATAGTAAAAAGCTTTAGATTTAAAATGAAAATATAAAGCACTTGAGCCAGACATACAACTTCGTCAACATCCTGGAGGATGCTATATCCCCTATCTAAACAGGGGACATATTTTTCAAGGCGATGTTTAGTAATAATCATTATCTCATTGAATGATTAACTTCTTACTACTACTATGTATTCATCTTCTGATTTCTATTAAGCCTTACTGAATAAAGGCTGGAACATATACTATTTTGATGGTACCTTTTAAGAGGTGATTCTAGATGTTTTTATTTGCTTCAGAGAAAGACAGCAAATGATACACTATGGAGTAAAAATCATAAGCCAAACCCAAGCTTATGAAAGCTTCTGAAACCTAATTCTGCTGAAATTTTGATCTAGACCTGGGACTCAGTTTTATGTAGCTAAAAGAGATTTAAACTTCACAACAGTTATTTGCCAATGTCAGCATGGGATGGAGATAAATTGGTGCCACAGCAAGCATTTCCAGTAAGTACAGTATATATGATGTGCCAGAATCTAGCTGTCCCTGGGCAAGAGCACCAAATGGAAAAGAGAGAACAGGGAACCACCCTCTCACCTGCACAAATGTACAGGGACTGATGCCATTTCTTTCTGCCTACAAAAATTAGTTGTGTTCTTACAATAATAAAAAACAGATCCACTGAAACATATATATATATATTTTTTTTTTAATTATTACACTTAAAATCTTTGTACCAGAATGGTAGTGAAATCACTAGCATTGGTGATTTAAGTATTGTAAGTAATAATGAATGGAATGAGATTATACCTGCAAGTTCTTCAATATTTCCTCTGATTTTATCTCTATTTATAGACTAACATGGAAAGCGTCAGCTGATTTATATTCTAGGTAGATTGGCAATATTACAACAAATATTTGCAGGGTATATTTTTGCTTGTTGCCATTAACTCTTGCATGAGGCTTTAGTGTATGTCAAGGACTGCTGAACAACTGTTGGAGAGAGAAGGGACAATTTGAAAGGTAATTCTCCAACCAATTGTAGTCACATGGAATTTCAGCTCTGAAATTCAGATCTAGGTTTTAATCCTGGCTCTTGGTAGTCTGTAATCATATGGGGTCTGGGTTTGGGCCAGATCAGAATAGTTTTCAGACACTACTGGTGAAGACTAAATTAGAAGGGGCACTGCCAAGGGA